AAGGAGTTCTCAAGATCACCTTCAGAAATCGATCTGACTTACAGTTTTAATTTCCATTTTAGTTGTCTGTAAAACAAATGTTGGGTGTGGTTTTTTTTTTAAGAGTAGTATTCTAGTTTTCAATAGCAATGAGACCCTAATTCTCTTGGGATCAGATTGCTATAGCCTCATTTTAGAAATTGTTGTTGATACATGCCATCAAGTTGCTTGCAAATCATAGCGACACTACGTACAAAAGCCCTGAAACCTGCTCCATCCTGTGCCAGATTTAGTCTTTAACCCACCTACCCTAATTACCCCAGGCAGTGTATCAATTCATCTAATCTATTATGTCCCTGTTTTTCTCTGTCCCTCCATCCTTCCAAGAATGATGTCCCTTTCCAAGGACTGGTCCTTCCTTGCAACATGCCCAAAGTATATCAGACAAAGTCTCGGAATTATTTTCTCTAAGGGGCAGACTAGCTTCACCCTCTCTAGGATGAACCTGTTTGTTATCCTGGCAATCCATGGCATATTCAACAATCTTCTCCAGCACCACTGCTCAAAGGCATCAGTTCTCTTTCTATCATCCCTAGTCATTGTCCAGCTCTCTGATACATAGCAAGCAGGTGCACCTTAGTCTCCAGACTGTTGTTGTTGCTCTTCAGTACTCTGGAGAGGTCCCCTGACAGCCTACTTTCCCAGTGTAATTTTTATCTTGATTTCCTGGCTGCTGCTACCAAGAGTGTTGATTGTGGAGCCAAGCCAACTAAAGCTTTTAACAATCTCAGTCTCTTCACCATTCATCATGATGCTGCCAATTGGCCCAGTGATGAGAATTTTTGTTTTGTTGATGTTGAGCTCATACTAAGTTTAAGAGCATCCCATGACAAGTTACAGAGCTTTGCAAACTATGGTCAGAAGACTTTTAGCCAAAGAGATATCAGGTGCTTTGATGGTTGTCTGTCTAAGGAGTGATGTATATGACAATCAAAACCACTGCGAATTGTGGTAGAAACTCTATAGCTGTAAAATTTTCTCCATAAAGAACAAAGAAAATCTTAAGTCTTTCAGCCCAGTTGATAAAAAAAAGTATTCTCACAGATATACTAAAATGTACATCTTCAAAATTATTGTTAAATAACCTTATTTAACCACCTTAATTCAATTTCCAGAAATTTGACAGCCATCATGTACTGATAGAAGTTTGTATGGTTGTAATGGGTTTTGTAATGTGGGATTTCAGAACAGAGGAAAATCTAAATGATACATAATTTTGTACACTTGGAAATTTCAATAAAGTTCTTCAGGAGAGTAAATTTTTTAAATGTCTATCTCCTCTCATGCAATTAACTGCCTCTGACAACCCTGGAGGGTCAGCTATGGGTCGGTTCCAACTTGATGGTACACAACACAACATTAAAACACATATTGTAATCTTAAATGTGAAAATAAAGAGATACAAAACACAATTTAGACATTCTTAAATGTATAATTTTCATCACACATATGTGTTTTCTCAATGTAACGCTCCCAAATTCTCAATTTTCACGAAGAAATAAAACTCAGTCCCTTGTACATAAAGATTAAAGCGTACTTTGGAGGTGTTTTTTTTTTTTCTCAGTAAAAGCTATCTTTGGTCAGAAGGAAGGTACTATCAGGGGAGAGATGCACACTAGCTCGCTGAGTGATTTAACACGTCCTTGGCACTGTATCTACCAGACTCCCACCAACAGAATACCATTTAACATTTCAGGTCTGCTGCTAAGCACAGTTGCTCCAATGACACAGCTTCCTTCAAGTTCTCACTAAATATGGTTTGTTCCCAGCCAAATAAAATCCCTCTGGAGGGATTTTATTAGATTTTTTTTTTAAGAATAGAAAATAGCTACTTTTTTTCCCCCTGTAAGTTGATCCACTCACTGATCTCAACTCCAGTAGATCACTGGCTACTCTTGGCCTATGACTGAGTTCCATTTTTTTTATAAAGCTCATGTTTTGAGGTCTGAAAGGGGAAAAGGAGAAATGCATAGCTTAGGGGTTTAGTTAATATCATCTGATCTCGATTACTCTGAAGCTTTTTAAAATTTGCCTACTTTGCACACAGTCTGGAAATATGGACGGGTCCTTCAACAGTCATTGACAAGTGGGCTCTGGAGACAGACTGCCTGAGTTAGTTGGAATTCCATTCCTCCAATTACTAGCTGTAAGACACTGGACAAATTGCATCATCTCTCTGTGTCTCGACTTTATGGCCCAGGAAATGGGACTAACAATGACAAAAATCTAGAATGTTTTGTTAAGAGGAAATGAGATGATGCTTACAAAGCACTTAATCCAGACTATGCAGTAAACACTCTATAAAAATCATTTGTCAAAAAAGTGAAATCAATAAAAAAGCTACATCAGGCCAGTATTTAAGATTAAAGAACTAATATGAGAAAATTATGGGGCTTGAAGTATTGGCAGGATTATTTCTGGATAAAACACAATCAGACAACGTCCTGGGAAGATTAGGGTAGAAGCGAGGGTTATTTTTGTGCAGTTTGCTATCAGGAGGTGAAAAAAACCCAAGAAAGAACACCTTGAAAGAAGACAAGAGTGACTCTGATGGATGTTTGAGAGGAAAATCCCAGACTTTAGAAAACAAGTGCCTTATTTCACTGTTGTGTTTCGTGCTTGGGGCCCATCTATTTGCCTTCTTATCTGCTAGCTCTACTACTGTCTTTTCCCAAAGCGGCCACAAAAATCTTCACTTCAGCTCACAAGGTAAAGTTATCATGTCTCTTCTGTTCTTGAAAATGATAACTTAGAAAATGTGTAGGTGATTTGTCGAGTTCTGGTCAGACACCTAACATCATTCCTTCCCTCCACTAAGGGTCCCAACCTCTGATGGAGTCATGAAGTTTCTGGCCTCACAAGTCCAATATCTAGCCTAGATTGTTTTGCTTGGTCTGAACTTGCCTCCTCAGATGGGCTAAAATAGCCTTTGCCATTGCAGGTCATGGAGCACATCCCCAGGCCCCATGCTATTTACTTTGATTAAATAGCACTGTTTTTAAAAAGTCATAACTTTTAAACATTTTTCATTAGCAAAAATTCTTTTCAGAGCTCTTCTCAATGCATTTCTTGACTGTAACCTGATTTCTTAAAAAATAAATATATACATAAAAGTGTAACTTTCTAGGTCTAAAAATGGAGTTTTTCTGATTCGTGTTTACACAGTTCTTCTGTAAGTATTCTTTCTGATCATCTAGGAAGTACTTTATGCAGTGGACTTGTCAGGATTTGCGCTTTTGGAAAATGTCATTTCTATAATGGTATGGGTAATATCTCAGTTAATAAGAAAATTCAATCCAGAATACCTGTCTTTATTCGGCAGGGAGAGGAGTTTGGGAGGTGATGGTTGGTTTTTCCACACCCATTAAACAGAATTTTTTTTTCCCTTTTGTTTAGTGAGACTGGCTCCTCAGAGTTGTGGCTATTACAGCAGGTTTTGTAAGGAAGTCAAACTCAGACGCTGATGTGAAATTAACAAAATCCACCAATGCATAAAGAGAATAATTTCAAAAGTTAAGAGTGCCAGAAATTATGAACTTCAGTATGCGAGAAGGATTATTTGGGGAGTGTGTGGTGAAATATTCCTGGAGGGGGAAGATATTTCCTAGTTTAAAAAGAAAGAAATGGAAAACAATCCCCTCCTGCATGCCCCATGGCATTTAAACCCAGAGTGCCTGTGCTCGGAAAGCAGTCTGTGAGCTCAAGGGAAAGTAAGCAGTTTCTGGACATTTTCACTTTGAGGGACGCCTTACTTATCTAAGCTAAATTGCGTAAGTCCCAGTCACTGAAGTGACTTAGAGCGACCGACTGACTGACTGAGATTCTACGGGAAATGGGACTCAAATATCCTGGGTGCCTGAGAATCATTTTGCAATGAATGGAAACCCAATAAGAGCCCTGGAGACTCTGAGGGACACTGGAACTTTGCGCGCTGTGAACGCGGCAATCTGCAAACTTGGAACCTGGATTCAGAAATTCAGTCTATCTCTCCTAACCCTTAGCTTCTGTTCACAGGTGCTGGAAGTTCTGCGTATGGGGACCAAGGGTGGGCTTCAACTCATAGGGGCTAGAGGGAATGCAGTGGTTCAGCTCCAGCTAGAAGTTTCTTGCAACTGCTTGAACTCTGGCAGCGGTCAGTATCCTATTGCAGTCCTTGAAGAGCTCCTAGAGGTCTGATTGTACTTCAGTGACAAGTCACTTCCTCCCCTTAGTTGATGGATCTTTGCAATGAGATGAGCAATGACATTGGAAGAGCAGAATGAGATAGGCATGTAGAAAAGTCACTAGTGTTTCTTGGAGAGTCAAGGACGCGGACTATTTGGACTGTGGCAGAGCTATGGGGCCCAGAGTTGGAGCGTCGCAGAGCGGGACCGGTTTTCCAGGGCTGACAGCGGTCTTGAAAAAGTTCCTGCAGAACAGTCGCCAGCGGGGGCGGAGGAGACGGGTGCAGTAGTGGACTTGGGAGGGGGGCGAAAGACGCGGCGGCGGAGGGGGGGGTGGATCATCAGGGGCAGGCTAGTAAACCGTTAGAGTCCCTTAACACCTTCCTGGACTGGTGGCCCTGTTCGCCCAGCCCTCCGCCGCGAGGCTGCCCACCTGGCGACGTGACGCTGCACCAATCCCCTTCGAAGGGGCCTTTCTTGCACCGCCCCCTCCCAATCCTGTAAGAGGCGCACCCTGCTGGAACAGACACTGTGGTCCTACCAGCAGAGCACCCTTCCTGCTAGTAGTTCCACACTGACTCTGGACGCTTCTCTTCAAAGTAGTCAAACTTACTTTCCCGCCTCAGGAACTCTTGCTTCTTTTTGCTCTTTCCCTCTCCATTTCCCACTGCTCTTATCTCCAGCACCCCAGTTCCTCGACCTCTATTCCCTCCCGGTCCTTCAACTTCCCCCTCAGCGTCCACATCAGGCTTCTGCAAGAGCCCACCACAGTCACTCGCTTCTGTTCAGCTCTAAGCCATGGCGGGACCTGGGGGCTGGAGGGACAAGGAAATCACGGATCTTGGCCACTTGCCGGTGAGTAGAAAATTACCTTCATTACTTAAGTGCTCCCCTCTATGAGTTTTTAGCACCAGAGAAAGGAACGAATGCCAGTGAACCCGGTTGAGCCAGGACTTCCACTGATGGCCAGCGCAAGAAGGCACCCCAGTGAGAGAGAAAGGGAGAGATGCCCCCTGGATACTGGGCAGCACAAAACTCCACAGAAAGGTGAAGAGGTGGGAACAATACAGGAGTGCTGAAGGCTAAAACAGCGTGTGCAAGGTCCCTTTGGTCTAGTGAATCTTGAGTATCTGTCTTATCAGTGCTTTAGGCAGGCATAGCTCCCTGAGAACACACCCTGCTGTGTGTGTTCACACCTCGCCTCCTGTCCTTTGCTTCTTTTGCCTGCGGAGATGTCCACCTAAAGTGTAACTTAGTGACATTGGCTCAAAAATTAATTAAAGTGTTGGAATTTTCTTTTCACCCTCTAATAGCATTGTACAAAACCTTGGCCAGAAGGGAAGTCAGTCACCTAACCATCAAACTTCCTTATTCTTGTCATGGCAATGTTCCTTCTCTAGTGTTGCTAGAGCGAACGAACTAGTCCCTGGGGAAGAAGATAATTCTACACCTCTACGCCATGAAAACATATGTTGCACTCCATAGCTAACCAGATATTGCTGTCTCTCGTGGTTTTCTTTCGTGAGTTTTCCTTTTCCCGAATGCCTAACATTACTCCAGTGTTGTAATTGATTGGTGAACTATTATTTATTATCATTATTAGCGGACCGATTTTTTTTCCAACGGTGTCATTTATTTTATTTGATTAGTGGCTGATACTGGACTCCACCCAAATCCGTTTTTCAAGTTCCTTTTTTAGATTGGCATTTCACTCACACCCTCTCTTGAAGGCAGAGGGCCCCTGGACTCCAAGAAAAGGAATAAGCAGGCATCATGCTGGAATGATCACCAGTCAACTGTACTTCAGAACAGTGGCCTGCCTGCTTGGAGAAAAGTGCAATATTAACCTTGAGATTATGAAATTCAGAATTACATTGACTTGATGTTTAGTTTGTATTTTGAGATTTTGTAGTTGGATGTTTGACCTTTAAAAAAAAAAAAAAAAAGAAGAGTTCCCAATGCCTATACTAGAGTGAGGAAGGTCATGCACCTGGGGACACTTTAACACATTATAGGACATTTAAAACATTTTTACATTAAACCCTCATTGCAAACATGTTACATTACAAATATTAGCATTGGGTTATTGATACTGCTTCATAAAGTGAAGTCACAGAACTTTGGGAAAATTTAAATCTTTCACCACCTACTTTGCTCTAAAATTCTTTCTTTTCTGTGCACACAAGTGAGGTTTCTGAAATACAGAGGACTTAATTGGTGGTGGTTTCTTTTCTGAATAGAATTTTCATATCCAGATTAGATTTACTCACAAATAAAAGTGTAAAATCAAACAATGAAATGTTACCCTTCTAACATTTTCTGTGTACTGGGAGCAAATGGGGGAGGGAGGAAGCAAATTAGGGAAAACATGAAACTTCACATGAGCAAACTAACACACACACAGACACACACACACACCCCTTAAGAAATAATCACAAAGAGATTAATAGCATAGACCCCAGAGAAATGAGAAGGCAAGCTCAAGGAGAAAAAGAAGAAATTTTTTTTCTTGCCATAAAAATAAAAAAAGAGGGGGGAATGGAAATGGCCCAGAAAAACTGACCAGGTCACAACTCTTGGATGTAAGAATTTGAGGAGATCAGAGGAGATAAGATAAAAGTCTCTGGTCTGTACACTGCAGGCAAGTGGAGTATTTGTGTTCTCAAGGCAAAGGAAGTTAGAGTGAACGGGAAAAGAAGATGAAATTGGTTTTTAAAGTAAGAACAGTAGTGAGAAGAAATTATAAGGTATCCTTTAGGAACATAAAGCTTCAGGGAATTGCTGCTTGCGATTAAATACAGATTTTTGGAAAATAGAATTTTTAATTTAGCAAAATTACCAAACTCCTACACATTGTACAAAAGTAATTTTGTTTCCTTGTGGAGGCTTTGGGCCTCCAAGAAAATGATGTAGACTTCTCCCCTCTGAACAGTCAGATCTAATAAGAAATCCAGCAGTAGAATTTATAGGTAATCTCTTCTTCTTCTTCTTCTTCTTCTTTTTTTTTACATAAAGTTTTCAGAGAATCAGAAAATTCCTGAAATAAAGTTGCAGAAAATTGTCATCTGTTAACATCAAGAATAGTCATTTGGTAACATTCAGACAATATAGACAGATTCTGATTTTAGATTAAGTAATGGAAGAATCTTGGAGTAAAGAGTCTGATCTGAACATTGATACATTATGCCCTTTATAGGGCTGGCCAGCAAAATAGCCATAAGGCAAGCACTCCTGGGAAAGGCAGACTTGCTGGGTCAATTGGAATTTAAAGAATGCTGAGAAAGGTTATCTGGGTTTTGTTTCTGAATTTTATTTGTTTCTGCGGGCATTTTTGGTTGCTTTTAGTAAGTATGACTTTTATACTTAAAATTGTAGATAATACTAAGACAGTGAGTTTGTGTTAATAACTGCAAACTAATTTGGAAAAGGATAGTGAAAGCAGTTGAACAACTTGGGGCATGTGATCAATGTCATTGAAATATACATGAAGAAATTGTTGAATTGGGGCACATTTTGTTGTGCATATTTTCACCAAAAGAAAAAAAAATTAAAATGTAAACTAAACAAACAAGGAAGGAGGGGAAAAAAATCAGTATTTTGTTTGTTTGTTTTCAGAATGCCTTAACTTGGAGATAAAAGAGAATAAATATAAAACTGATCATGTTAACAGAACTCTGTTACATGTTAATTAATAGGCTCTAATTATTCCTGCTTTACTATTGAATATGTATTTTTCCCCCTGATAAACAAAACACCTCTGTAGATTTGTGATTCCTTTTTGCAAAAGGAATTGGAAAACCTTACATCTTTATATACATATCTTTGAGTTGTGGGTTTATATAGTTATCGTATTTGTAGTAAATCAGAGCTTGTGTATTATGTGTGTTATATACATATATATATATATATATATATATGTTCTCTCTCTCTATGTAATTATTTTTCTGATATTCCTATGTTCTAATCCTTGGGACTGGAAACTATTTCTTCAGTTCCAAATCTGGCATGTCTTTCACTATGATAGTTCGTTTTGCCTTCTGTGCCCAGTATGGTAATGACATTCCTCATGGTGGTGGCCTTGGTATTTGACACTGCCATGTGTAGTCTCTAATCTATATTGGGGTGAGGATTAGACAGGCCTGGAAGACAGTAATGGCAGAGGTGATCTGAAATAGCACATGATCCAAAATCTATATTTGAATTACATTAGGTTTATATTTAAATATAACTGCTAGCTTTCCCAGTCTTCTACCACCCAGACCAAGCCTGCTTTCCAGACCTCACTCATGAAAACATTCCTACCTTAACAAGGCACTTAGCTTCCCTTTTTGAAATAATTTTACATTTGAGTCTGCTAGAATTGATAACATTTACTATATACTTCATCATATCCTGTATCCTATAACATCACCATAGCTTGTTCTTCTACATCAACTATTATCCCCAGCCTAAAGCTGTGGTTTTTGACATGGTGATGAACAAAAGTGACCTTTAAAAATGAAGATTTATTTAACCCACTCCCAGAGATTGCTATTTCATAGTTCCATGGTAAAGGCCAAACATTCTTTATTTTAACTAATCTCCTTGAGGATTCTTTTGTATAAGGAGTCCACGCATCATCTATGGCTTGAGACAAACTAGTTTATAGGCAGATATTTTTCTTTCTAAAAATTCCATTTATATTCAGAAGCCTATTTCTACAATTCTTTCTGAAAAACATTCCAGCATCCTTTTTGTCATATTCACCATCTACAGATTGTCTTTTCATGAACTCTTTTTATAAAATTGGTATTTGTAAAAAAAAAAAAGAAAAAAGAAAAAAGAAGACAACCTCTACTATCTCCTTCTAGATATTGTGCAATTTACTTCCTTTTGTTGCTTGGCAATTGGAATGTGTTATCTTACTCTCCTTCTTTATTGTTCTAAATCTATAATCCACTTCAAATTTGACCAGCAATTTTCTTGCTACACATTGAACATTTATTGGTCCCCTTTTCCCTGCCATATTTGGTCTTGTCTGTCATTCTGTACTTCTGAAAGTCTTTCTTTTACCAGGAAACAGTGCCTTCTAGTGGCTCTTTTCTTCTGCTATACTTCCCCTCCCCTTTAAGCCCTTAATGAAAGTATCCAACAAGATACATCTTCTATTTTATTAAAAAAGATAGAAATACACTTCTCTCATGCAAATTTTGGGTCCAGAGAGCAGCTAGAATAATATTTCTAAATGGCAGGAAATAATTTAAAATACAAAAATGATATAAACATGTAAATTATTTGCCTTAGTTGTTTATGATTAAAAAATGTTTTAAGACTTAGATTTTCAGTAATTATTTTTGAGAACAGGTTTTACAAATTCTTGTTTACTGTCCATATTATTTACTCAACTGAGACAACAAAACTTAATACACCCTCAAATCTCCAAGATGATAGAGCAATCTACTTAGAAATTTCAAAATGAAAGAGCAGAGAAGAAACTTCTCTGATGGGGACTTTTAACCTTCATATTGATTAAAGAGAAGAATAATTTTCAACCTTTCATTTTTGGGTATCCTATTTACTCTCACTATTAATTTAGCAAAAATATTATATAAGTAATTATGTATTACTATCTTAGAGATTAGCTTAGTTTCCTAATATGGAAAGATACAAGTGTGGAATTAAGGTAACAAATAATATCACTTAACACCAATAAAAATATGGTCTTAGAATAGATTAATATTTCCTTGAGCTGTCTTTAAGAACAGGGTAGATTAAACATTGAGTTATTCTCAAACAAACAAAAAAAATAAAAGGATGAACTACTCTTTCATTAAATGAGACCACCAGGAGAAATAAGATGGTTTGCTTATTTGCAAGCACAACATTATTTCCGAAAACTTGAATGTAGATAAAATAGGATTTCCATGGATCACCACAGATATTTAATTGTCTTAAATAATTTCCCTGGTTTCCTTTTTGAGTAGTTAAATGTTGTTGTCAGGTGTTGTTGAATTGGCTCTGATTCAAAGTGACCTTATATCATGATAGAAGAAAATATTGCCCAGTAACCAGAAACTGAGTTCAAATCTGAGTTAGGTGTTTAATATTATTGAGGGCTAGAAAAAAATTATGCGGGGGGGGGGAAGAAACATTTTGTGCTCAAAGATTCAGAAATAAAGGTTGAACAAACATTACAGTAATTTTCTACTGCATGATGGTTTTTTCAGTTAAAATGTAACCTTGACTACAACAAAGAGTGGTTCACTAATAGGAATAAATTAAAATCGTTGATTCTTTTGATATATACCCAGAGGCCGTTTCTCCAGAGTTAATAATTTCTCATATAAATTCTCCAGGATATCTTCCTGAAGAATAAATCAAAGTGATAAAATCTTCAAGCCAATCCCTAGTAACTCCTTTGCTAGTTATCTCTCCCTCAAAACTGAACTTACTACCTTAGAGTCAATTCAGACTTCCATGCAGTTTCCGGGGTTGTAAAACTTTTCTTTCTTTTTTTTTTTTGAGTGGAAGTTTGCAAATGATTAGTTTTCATTCAATTATTGATATACATTTTGTGGTATAACATTAATTACAATTTATTAAAGTAATTATAGTGTCTCATCAAATCCTTATTTGTATTACCTTTTCTTTTACTCAACTTATCTATTTATTAATTAATATGAGCAGTTGGTGAATTCAAACCACTGACCTTACTTACCAGTCCAATATGTAATTTACTACGCCACCAGGGTTTCTTTTAAACCATGTTCAGTGCTAACTTTTCCCTATAAATATCTCAATGACTTATGCAAAAGTGACGTATTTAATATCGAGAGTACTAGAACAACCTGATTTTATGTCTCAAAAATTCTAAAGTTTTAACCTTAAATAACTTTTAAAACATTTTCACGAGAGTTTGTTCCCTGGATCATTTACTTATCAATGCTATTATGTTATATAGCATTATTTTTGTAATAAGTAGGCTATTGCTTTCCCCAAAAATAGCTTTATCAATCCGCTAGAAACATCTGTATTTTAGAAGGGTAGAATCTAATTGCTGTTTCTTATAGAATTTAAGAATTCAGTACTCACCTGGTAAACATTTTCATTTTATATGTAAGGAAACTAAGCCAGAGAGTAAATGATGCTTATGTATATAATGAATGGCAGAGATGAGGCTAAAACTCAAATTGCCTGGCACTGTCCAGTTGAGCATCTGTTAGTCAAAGTGATTAATCCTATGACTGTGTCATTTTCCTATAACAATTTTACTAGATGCACAAATATCACATCCGTTACAAGAAGACTCTAATTTCCATTATATACTTTTCATACTTGCAATAGTTTTCCTGCTAAGATCACATTTAAAGATATACTTTCTGTAATGCTTGCAAACTTCCAAAAATTTGCCAGTTTCCTTATAATATTTATATCTATTTATTTTGCATACAAGTTTGGCTTTAATAGGAAAAGAAAGAGTAGAATAAAAAATTAAACAGTTATAGAACTCAAAAAACCATGACTGTGGCCTTTCAACACTTCAGACCTGGAAATGAACCCACCTCCAGGGATCACCTGGCAGTCAAACAACAAACAGGCAGTCAGAGTGAACAGTAACCCACATGAAGGAAGTACTCCTCAGAATAATCAACAATAATATGAGAATAAAAAGGCAGCATTTACCAAAATCAAAGCAGAGAAGCCAATAAAGGGGAAAGAGAAAGAAAGAAAAAAAGAAAAAAGAAAGAAGAGAGAGAGAGAGAGAGAGAGAGAGAGAGAGAGAGAGAGAGAGAAAAAAAAAGAAAGAAAGAAAGAAAGAAAGAAAGAAAACCAACCAACCAAAAACCCGAAACATCACCACCACCAACAAAACAGGGAATCCAGAAACAAAACTGTAAGAGTTTCGTTACCCTGGGGGATTACAACTAATTTCACAAAATAAAAGGTGTGTAAATTCTTGACTGGGAAGCTCACTTGTCCTTTTAACTTTCACCTAAACTACAATAGGCGTAAAGGCATCTAAAAAAACCCAATACAACAAACCCATGTTTTCTTGTGAACAAAAAAGGAACACTCATATTTTAAAGTAAGAAAACAATGTTTAAGGGTGATATAATAATAGTAAGTTATTATAAGAATATATTATGAAATTCTCTGTAAATGTTCATTAAAATTATTTTTTAGAAAAGAATATATTATGGGGTTTTTTACCAATAACTGTAATAGTAATGAATAGTAATACATTCAACTTTTGGAAATATTAACTTAAGTAAAGAGAAGCACTGTGTGGTTGTGATTTTCTTTCTTCTGCCTCCAAATGATGTTCTTTTAGTGCTAGTATTAATCACAGACAATATTTTTTAGGAAGTCCTGTTACATAAGTCAATCATCTGGACTTTATCCCCACTATTTACTCATCATTACTATATATTAAACTTTCTGCTTGTCTGGTTAACACTCAAAAGATAGATATTACAGGGAGCTCCTGTGGCCTACTGACAAGAAGCTGTGCTGAAATCCTGAAGGCACACGATTCGAATCCACCAGATGCTCCACTGGAGAAGGAGGGGCAATTTCCTCCTGTACCAGTTGGATCCGATTTGACAATGCACACACACACACACACACACACACACACACACACACACACGAGATAAAATAAATAAAATTGTTTAAAAGATAGATATTACAATAAAGCTTTACTTAGACACTGTAATGAATTAACTGTATCAATGAATAGTTATTATTGCCTATGATTGTCTGAAAATAGCAATGATGTTTGTAAACTTTCACACAAAATAGATTTTCTAAAAAGATGTTTACGGCATTGAAGTCTATGGGGGAGAGAATAGTCTAAAAGTATTATATTTTAGGGCATTATTTTTATCGTAGGAGTATGCAATGAGGGT